ATATCCATGCAACGAAGACTATTGTAACTCAGTTTTGATTGTAGACTAGAGTAACTCAACTTAATATAGTTTTTTCCTGTAGGAATGTGGATTATTACACTTACTATACAGGGAAGTTGTTCACTATCGTTTCATGTCTGAGTTACTGTAATCTTCCACCAAATAGAGCTTGAAAAAATCTGTTGATGCCATATAGTAAGTCAAAACCCACGTTTTTTGAGTTACTATAGTCTTCGTTGCATGGGTCGATATATGACTATTATAAAAATTAATAATTCCATCTCTATTGAATCCGGCTTCATCGGTAAATTTTTTTTTTTCAATAACGTTGGGGTCTTTATGCCATTTTGTTCTCAACCAGCAACAGAATTCTAGTCAACGTGAAAGATATTAAGGATTTAAAGCTTGATTAAATTTACACTTTAGCGACTTTTCCGAAAAACGATTGGAGGGTTGTCAAAATGCAAAAAATAGGTGTGGGGGGATGTAAAAGTGCATAAACAATCGGCGCAGGCTGAAAAAGTTATTTAATTATCGCGTAATTTATAAAAAAAGGGGCCGATAATTAAAATGACTTACCGCGATTTTCTGTGAAAAAGAGCAATTTGCGTGCTAAAAACTGTATCTGATAGACGTAGAATTCGAAAGTGGAAGTATAAAAAAGCTCAAATTATGAAAAACATTGTCATAAATTGCATAAAATTAAGTTTTTAAAATCAGGTAATTTGAGGTTATGTTCACAGTCCAGCGTTGCCATACTGCTCTACACATAAAAAGGCGCAAATTTATAAAGTATACTTTACACAGATAGACAGATTTATAGATTGCCTTTCTTTCCCCCTTCCCGTAAAAGATGAACTATACGATAACCGTAGTGCTGTTTATAGATTAGGGTACGGGAATCTATAAACAGCACTACGGTTTTCGTATTGTTCATCTTTTACGGAAGGAAAAGTGGAAGGAAAGAAGGCAATCTATAAATCAGGCTTAATTGTTATAGCTGTAAAACTATAAAGGTTCCTGGTTACCTGTAGACATTAACTCACTTGTAAATTCCAATTTTTGTTGAAAATTTATGCCGTAAATGATATGATAATGAGGGGCCACAGATAGCACAGTTGGTTAGGCGATCTGCGTACGAAGGTACCGGGTCGTTAGATGAGTAACTCATTGAGGACAGTGGTTCAGATTCCACTTTAAACAGTAGGTACAGCTGAAGAACCGAACCGAGCCGAACCTGTAGGCTTGATAGGTTGATGGCGTTACTACTCTTCTTTTTTGATATGATAAATCTTTGTAAATTGTAGGTAGTCAACCAGCTCGGGATTTTCTTAAATTGATGCTTGCGCTAAAATGGGTTCAGCCACTGACCAAGCCTGCCTCGCTTCGCTCGGAATTTACTTATATTGATTAGGTTTACAAGTAGCCTGGGCGGGCTTGGTCAGTGGCTGAGTCCATTTTTGAGCGCGAAAAAATGGGCTCAGCCACTGACCAAGCCCGCCTCGCTTCGCTCGGATTTTATTTAAATTGATTAGGTTTACAAGTAGCCTCGGCGGGCTTGGTCAGTGGCTGAGCCCATTTTTGAGCGCGAAAAAATGGGCTCAGCCACTGACCAAGCCTGCCTCGCTTCGCTCGGATTTTAATTAAATTGATTAGGTTTATAAGTAGCCTGGGCGGGCTTGGTCAGTGGCTGAGCCCATTTTTGAGCGCGAAAAAATGGGCTCAGCCACTGACCAAGCCCGCCTCGCTTCGCTCGGATTTTAATTAAATTTTTTAGGTTTATAAGTAGCCTGCTTACGAAGGTACCGGGTCGGTAGATGAGTAACTCATTGAGGACAGTGCACTGCAGTGGTTCGGATTCCACGTTAAACAGTAGGTACAGCTGTAGAACCGAACCGAGCCGAACCTGTAGGCTTGATAGGTTAATGGCGTTACTACTCTTCTTTTTTGATATGATAAATCTTTGTAAATTGTAGGTAGTCCACCAGCTCGGGATTTACTTAAATTGATGCTTGCGCTAAAATGGGTTCAGCCACTGACCAAGCCTGCCTCGCTTCGCTCGGAATTTACTTATATTGATTAGGTTTACAAGTAGCCTGGGCGGGCTTGGTCAGTGGCTGAGCCCATTTTTGAGCGCGAAAAAATGGGCTCAGCCACTGACCAAGCCCGCCTCGCTTTGCTCGGATTTTACTTAAATTGATTAGGTTTACAAGTAGCCTGGGAAGGCTTGGTCAGTGGCTGAGCCCATTTTTGAGCGCGAAAAAATGGGCTCAGCCACTGACCAAGCCCGCCTCGCTTCGCTCGGATTTTACTTAAATTGATTAGGTTTACAAGTAGCCTGGGCAGGGTTTGTCAGTGGCTGAGCCCATTTTTGAGCGCGAAAAACTGGGCTGACACTGACCAAGCCCGCCTCACTTCGCTTGGATTTTACTTAAAATGATTTAGTTTACAAGCAAAAAGTTTTAAAATAAAAAGGTTACAGGACAATGCCTGTAACTTTTCAATTTAAAACCTTTGCTTATATATTTTAGATTAAAAAAATAAATAAACAAAATTTATTTAAAACAGATAACTTCTTAATCATATGAGCACACACCAAATTACAAAATAAATATAATTTTTTTATTCGCTAGTCGATGGTGTTGGTAAACCAGAATAAACGTTTGAAATTGCCCGGAACACTTCATGGATTCTGACGCGGGTATTTGGAAATGCGCATTCCGCGATGTACCCAATGAAATGTTCTTTGCACCGTCCATACTTGGGGATTTTCGATTTTAAATCTCTCCAAGCGCGTTCAACGTTTTGAGTGTGAGCACCCGTCTCCGGGTCGACGAAATTTTCGGAATGATTTACAGTCTCGTGTTCGTAACCCTCACTGGGAAGCGTAAAATACGCTTTCCAACAATCGGAAATAATCGAGGTCCCAGGTGCTATCCTTTCCCTTATAATTCTGAAAAGGGTCTCACGGTCTCGATTTTCCACAGGAACGACAAAAAACTTTTTGGATTCGCGCTCCACACCTCCAAACACTCATTGCCCCTCGATGGCCCTTCCCCTGTGGTACTTTCTTTTCCCGCATTTCGACTCGTCAATTTCCACCGTTTTTCCCTCCCCCCCAATTCGATAATCCTCATTTTCTTCTTCCCATTTCAACAATACTTCCCTGATGAAGTTTATCCAGTCAGTTACTGTTTGAGCCGACATTTGAAATTCATCCATCAAAAATTTTACTTTGGGTGTATCTCTGGTGATAAAATAAACAACAAATCGGGTAATGGTATCAACACTTAAATGTGATTTCGAAAAAAACGTGTTTGTAAAAAAGCTTACTTTAAAATTGCACTTTACTCTCAATCTTTTTTTGTTTTTTCTCACACTGTGAATTTTTTGACATCGCCAAAACTTTTTGTCTTTTTGTATCTCATAATCTCCTTTTTTTTCTTTCTGAGCATCATTTCCAACCATTTTTTCCACAAAAATTGAGCATTCTCCCCCATAGGGGCATAGGAAACTTTTCAAAATTACGCCGTGCATTGTCAAAAAGTCGTTTAATTGTTCCTCTTTAAAGCGAACAAATTGAGTTACCGAAATTTCGCAACCTGGACACGGATCACTCATTGCAAAAATTAGGCACTGTAAATATCGAGGGGTAAACCACTTATTTAAAAAATATATAAATCGCATAAGCATTAACGGCTAAAGAAAAAATCACAAGGGTTGTCATGGGCAACGCGTTGCTAAGAGAAATTTAAATTTTTATTGATAAGGATTTATATTTATATATTGCCTTCCTTCCTTCTTCCCCACCTCCCGTAAGAGATCAACAATACGAAAACCGTACCCCAATATAAACAGCACTACTATTTTCGTATTGTTCTTTTTTTACGGGAGGGACGAAAGAAGGACGGAAGGCAATATATAAATGAGGCTTTAGTATTATTTTGTGTAAAGCAGTATGGCAAGTTGCCATTGGCAACACTGGCTTGTGAAGTTCACAATGTGAACTGAATAACCAAGATGAATGTGAACTGAATAACCAAGATGACAGCTAATCTTCATAACCTTAAATTACCTTCTTTAAGAAATTGCATTTTCCGCAATTTATGACATTGTTTATCATTATTTAAGCTTTTTTCACTTTCACTTTTGAATTATACGTCCATTAGATACGTGTTTTTGGCACGCAACATGCTATTCTTTACAGAAAATCAAGGTAAGTCATTTCAAGTATCGGCCCCTTTTTTTATTAATTACGCGATAATTAAACAATTTTTTTACCCTGCGCCGATTGTTTATGCACTTTTACACCCCCTTACACCTTTTTTTTTGATTTTGACAAAACCCATTCAATTTTTCGGAAAAGTCGCTAAAGTGAAAATTTACCAAAGCTTGTACTCTCTGTAAATGGTAGGGATATAGCAGTTGTTCGTGCATTATTTCCCAAACTGTACTTTTTGGAATATCCACTTGCATAGCAATTCTTCTCAGGATTAGCGGCAACTACTTCCAGGACCGTTTCTTCGTTTTCCACTATTCGAGTTGTTCGATTTCTCCCGCAATCACCTTTGTTTACTTTAAAAGTGCCAGTTTCACACATCTTTGATGTAAACTGGTAAACGTTCGATCACATGGGGGTATACCCGGTACAATCTTCGATCTTCGCGACTATTACCATTGGCCTTACTGTACATTAAATCATATTGGTCATTTATTGGAAAGTGTAATTTAGCATTTTTGTTTGAAATTTTGTTATGACAAACGATTTGACAAAATTTAATGTCACCACTGAAAAAATAACGATATTTGCCAAGCAGGCTAATTTGATGTTTTTCTATTACCTACTAATTCGCTTGATATTTTTTGTGGCGAGACAAAATAAATTAAAAAATAACACAAAATAATTGGCACAAAATATGGATAAATACTATGAAATTATAGACCGATTTTAAAAGAAACTGGGAAATAACCTTATGGAGTAAAATAAACACAATTTATAATCTGCATTATAAACATATATTTTCAAAATTTCCCAAAACACATTGAACAATCTAACCCAAAATCACTCTAATGGATTCGGCCTTACATTCCATAATCCTGGCTTTGGGACAGATAGCTTCAATCAAAGGATTATTTTTGCAAGCCACCACCTCTCCCAACGTGTTTTTTACTTGACTTTCCAATGGGCAAATCTTGTTAATTTTTCTGGAAGCGCAAACGGCAGCCTTGCATTTTCCCCCATGGACTGGAATCACCTTTATAGGAATATTAAATCCGTTACTCAATGAAACGTCGTATTGGTCCAAAGTTGGGCTTAAAGTTAAGTCTGCTACAGTTTTCGGTCCATCGCATAGTTCAGAACATCCCGAAATTTTTCCTTGCCAGTTTTCAGGCAAGTCCAAGATCGACTAAAAAATATAAACTGTATCCTAATATTTTGAAATTTTGTGAGGAGATTTGTCTACTTACTTTTCCCTTGGGTGGCAATTGAATACCACTTAGTCCACTAACAGAAACTGTTAATCCAACTTTTCCTTTATTTTGCACAATAACTTCCTTACCAAAGGTAGAGCCTGCCAATAGGGCTACAATGAAAATAGTAGTGGAGGACATTTTAAATATGAGGTACTTAATATTCATGTAACACTTTTATTTAAACTGATTATTGTAATGACATTTTCCTTAAATATATGAGAATGAATCGTTTTTAATCCTTTGTAAATATTTTTTGCATTAAACTATTTCCAAGTAATTCTAGTTGCTTAGGAAAGTGGTTGTAAGTAAAATAAACATTGGAATCTTTTTTAATTTGGCCAATCATGGCTATATTTAAAAAAAAACTGGAAAATAACCGTGCCAAATTATTACACATATTTTTAGAAAAAAATGCATTCACCTCAAGTATTTTGTACCCGAAATAAAAACAATAATTTCATAAGATAAACAATCAATAATAAAACATTAATACACATAATCTTGAATAGATATTTACTTCTAAAAATTTCCGACAATATTGTTGTCAACCACCAATAGATAATATTTTTAAACTTAAAATATTGTTTACCAAAATACCCCACATGGAGATAATACTGCAGTATATAAAGATGTACAGATGATAGTTTTGTTATAGTTTCTATAATTTCTTATATAGGTGCAACAATAATACTAAAAATGTTCTTCAAAATCATAGTCAGTGCTTTACTCGTATCTACTGTTTTTAGTAGACGAGTGTCGATAAATAATTATCAGCAAAAAGAGTTGACTGTGTCCATTACTGGAAGGGATGACATTAAGATGCCCCCCCATTCTCAGGTAAGACTCTATCATAGTGATGTTTTACCATAACATTCTGTACATTTTTTTTTAAATAGATTCCCTTGGACTTGGAAGAAAACTGGTCGGGAAAAATTTCGGGTTGCTCCGAAATGTGCGAAGGACCCAGAACTGAAGTTGAGCTAACGTTGGGTGCCGAAATGGACCAGTACGATGTTTCCTTGATCAATGGATGGAATCTGCCCATGAAGGTAAGATTTTGCATGAAATTGGTTGGATTAAAAACATTTTTCTTCTTAGATTGTTCCCCAAAATGGAGACAACTGCCAAGCCTCAGTCTGCACTCCCAACATGCTCCATATTTGCCCAGACGAAGACAGAGTCCTAAACGCTAGGGGAATTCCAGTAGCGTGCAGAAATAGCCCGATGGTTTTCAAGAAAGTTTGCCCAAATTCTATCACCGATGAAAACGATAGACCAGCTAAAGTACACAATTGCCATGCTGAGGGCTACAAGGTTATGTTTGGTCAATAGTGATTATAGGATTAGATTGATAATTGTACCTGTTTTTTTGTTGATAAATTAGTTCTGTAATAAAAAGAATTCAAAATATTTGTTTTGTTTATTCATTTAAAAAAATAACATTAAACTTATCTATAAGTAGGTGCTTGTATTTTTTCCGTATTTTTATAGATAAGTCATTCAAATATTTAAATAATAAAGTAAATAAACTTTTTGTCATTGTTACCATGGTTCATAATCAGAAAATAAGGGTTATAGTGTTTTGATGGTTCCTTTAATATATATTTCTCTATATCGGGGTGACTATCGACGAATTTGGTCGTACGTGTGTGCGGAAGCCGAAGCCTAAAATAATATTTTCGATCACACTCATGTGTATCCTGTGTTTTTGATTTTATTGATTTAGCTTTAAAAATGTCTTTGCTTTCTTTTCTTAATTGATGAAGAAGCTAAGATGTAAGTAATTAATATGTATTCGTCAATATAAACGACCCAAAAGCTTAAGTCATAATTTAATGTTCTTTGTTTTTGCATAATTTCGAATAAAGTTTATTTTTACATTAGTTATAAAGCCAGTTTCATTTCAGTGCCATTTCTCCATTAGGTTGAATATGGTTTTCAAAATTGAGGTGTCAACATGCTCGATGAAAAATATTCAACTTTACTTTTGTCTGACGATCAAACAAGGATAGGAATTAAATAATTCGACGTTTTATAACAAAATTTGAAGCGACTCGATCAGTTATTTTGATTAATAATTTTGTTTGGATATAAAAATGCTTGAAGGAAAACCAATTAAAATTATCAAAATCTAAAAAATATTTTTTTATAATTTGAAGCAAAGGGCTAAACTCGGCTAAACCTGCCTTAAAATTTGCTTTGACATCAGAGATTTTCACCAAACTTGGAACATTATATACGAGGTATTTTACTGTACTCAAATATTTATCAAATTGAGTAACGCTTTTAGTATATACAAAGCGTTAAAGTAGGCCGGTCATGGTTTACAGTGGTTTAATAATAAGCTTATATCTTCCACAAATATTAACCAATTTTAATTAAAAAATAAAATTGATTTTAAATCACATTTTTATGCTCTACATTAGGGCCTGCTTTATATTTTTATGTCTTTAAAACACATAACCAAGTTTTGTCAAAAGATAAATATCGATTTTTTCTCAAATAATACTATTTTAATTTTAATCTTTTTGCGTATTTTTTAAGTTTTTAAGTATTCCCACATTGCAATTTTTTTTTAAATATGAAGTATACCTACATACAACTTTGTAGAACTAATTTTTCTTGTTAAAATGGTATTGTCTATGTTTTCGATAAAATAAGAATACGGCTGGTATTCGCGAATTCACCCCTGAATACAAGATGGCGGAAAATCTGCAAGGGGTTGATAGTCCAAAACATGACCTTATAAGTAAAGGAGGCTTAAATAAACTGGATTAAACGGTAATGGCCAAAGTATTCCCATTTTTTTGGTTTATTTAAATCTTATTTAGGTTTATTAACCAAAACAAACCAACAAAATATTAAAAAAACTAATAAAAAATATTCCTGAACCCATCGCAACAGGGTTGCCAACCGTACTAGAATTATAGTATTTCTACTATAATTTTATGTCGGTGTGCAAAGTATTATAGTACGTTAAAATAGTATAATTGTGAATAATAGTATTATTATTATAATACCCACTTCTTAAAAAAATCTATAATTAAAAAAAAAACTAGAATTTTTGAAAAAGAAAACTGCAAAATTTGTATTTTCGCGCCCTCGTTTATGCAAAAGCAAAACTAGCCACATGAAATACTGTGGTGCGCATTAGCGCGGCGCGTGCATTTATTCTCTTATTTAACTGTTATTTTTATCATAGAAAAATATTTGTATAGGTTATACGCAGCGTTGCCATTCGTACGGTAATTACCGTATTTGTACGGTAATTTGAATGAAAATACGGTATACGGCCCATACCTCAATACCGTACAAAAATGTACGGTAAATTTACTAACTGACATATTTTTATTCATAATATTATTAACAATATTTTTTATTTTTTGTGTTTTTGTTTATTGTCTTTTGTCTATGGTTTTTCTACACATTTAAACACATACTTGGAAGTATGTGCCATGGAGGCTCCATGGTATGTGCATTTAAAGGTTCCACAAGTATGTGCATTTAAATTAATATAGCACCCTCTAGGGAATTCTTAGTACATAAAAGGAGCACTCCGACTGTAGGGTTCTGTAATGTCGACATTAATGAAAGAGAATAATAAAATTAACCTTTATTTTATACTCTCTCTATTTTCTTTGCTAAAGCGCCGACGCAAACCCATTTGTTTTAAATTTATATATTCCTGCTAAAATTAAAGTGTTTTGTTCTTTGGTTTTGTTATTAAATATGTCTGATTCGAGTACCGATGATGCAAAAAAATAACAGGAACCCACCGAAAACAGGTAAGCTTTTTTTACACCTAGCAATTATAAATTATTAATACCTATATATGGGTATTAAAATTTTTAAAGTATACTTGTATTATTACAATTATTATTTTATTATTTGAGTTGTTTTGTAAATGTTTTTTATTTAAATTAATTTTTATTTATTTTGAGTTTTCAATAAAAAATATTATTTAACTTTGTTGAAATTGTTTTGTTGCTTTTATAAATTAAATATTTTATGTTAATTTTTCATGTACGGTAATTTTTTCTTAAATACGGTAATTTTTACCAAGCAGGTACGGTAATTTCATTTTGACCATCTGGCAACGCTGGTTATACGTGTAAATATAGTGTGTACGTTTTATGATAAAGGGTATGTACCTACAGAATACATTTTAAATTGCATACAAAGTTTGTAAACTTATCAGTTATTGTCACAACAAACGTTTTGTGAAAATATATATTATATAATATAATAAAAAAGCTGTCTTTATTAAAATTCTAAAAGGGGAAAAAATGTGGGCTCCTGCTTCTCAAAAACATATACGTCATTTGTACTATAATTTTTCTAAAAAATACTATAATTAAATTGAGAAAATACTATAATGTGCATCTCAAGAGTTGGCAACTCTGCATCGCAAGCAAATACGTGTCATAACACGACCACACTTATTTTATCTATGCAAATGTAATATAAAAATGGTCTTTTTGAGGAAAAACCGATATTTATCTCTTGACAAAACATTGAGGTTATGTTTAATGAAGATATAAGATGTACAGCATAAAAATGTAATTTAAAGTATTTTTTTTAATTGGTTAATATTTGCGAAAGATACAAGCTAACTACTAAACCACTGTAAACCCTGACCTGTCTACTTTAACGCTCTGTATATACGAAACGCGTCACTAAATTTAATAAATATTGGAGTACAGTATATACATCGTATATACTGTTCCAAGTTTGGTGAAAATCTCTGAAGTCGAGGCAGATAGGGGACAGGTTTGGAGCGTTTTGCCTCATATATTATAGGAAATAAAACCGCAATATAAAATAACCAAAATGTAGGTAACCCTACGCCGTAGGGCCTACGGTCAGTGGCGTACCTGTGGGGCCCTGAGGGCCCGCGGCGCGGGGGGCCCGAGCTTTGAGGGCCCCGCTACTTATCCCAGACATTAGGTACTGATTTATTTTTTGGAACTAAAAATTTGAAATTATTTATAAAAATGGTTGATTATACCTAGTTCATAACAATTGTATTCACTTATTTTTAAATTACAAAGTTTTCAAAAAAATGTTGAACCTTTTAAAAGGTCATTAAAAGGTCATTATTAATATGGGCTAGTTATAGGTCTGTCAGAATTTATTGTTACAAATACAAAATATTTATTAACAATAAATGAAACATTTCCAAAATTAACGTATTTAGTGTGATAAAGTCTTTGGGATGCAACCCAACGTCACATTTTTTACATATAAATTGCACTTTTTGTTTTTTTGCTTCTCTTGGTATAAAATTAAATGGTCAATTCTATCGTACCAAGAATAGGCATAAGCATTATTTGATGAACATGTGGTCTTTTAGGTTTCCAGCAACTTAGTTGCAATCGCTCTTCTAAAAGTTAGCTTATCCATGCCTATACTAATCAGAATTTTCGATTAAAATAATTTTAAAATCTATAATGTACACATATTATGTGCATATTGTAGATTTTAAAAAACAAACGAGCCAAACCCATATAAGCACAGGGCATTTGCGATTTATATTAAATGTGCATGTATTCAGTGCCGGTTTAAGTTAGTTCGCCGCCCGGTTCTGGCACAAACACAACGCCCAATGCTTTAAAATATTACTTTTTTAAAAACATTTTTAAATTTTTAAGTCTTACTTTCTCACGTCAAGTGGAAGATTAGGTTGGTTAGGCTGGTATCTAACAGTAAACTTAGTATCCTATAAAATATAAAATGAGCCTTTATAAACAAATTATAAAAACTAATCAAAAGCACTAACTAAAAAATAAAACATTCTTTGGTTTATATAAACAATACTAAGTAGGTACTAAGAAAAACTAATTAAAAAATAAAAGTTTAATATTTTGTTTCATTAAACTAATAAAACTAATCAAAAGTTATAAATAAATAAAACATTCTTCTTTGGTTTAAATAAATATTGAGAAATCCTAATACTAATAATTAAAAGGTTGTTTTCAAGCCTTTATAGTAGCAAATTGTTTTATAACACTTTACATTATATTATATATTATTATTATTATTATTATTATTATTATTATTATTATTATTATTATTATTATTATTATTATTATTATTATTATTATTAATATTATTATTATTATTATTATTATTATTATTATTATTTCATCTAGCAGGACAGAATTGCTAAGGAGTTAAATCTTTCTTGGGGAATTGTATTTCTTAGGTAGTTCTTTACCCTTTTTAGAGTGGAAAAAGATCGTTCACCACTTGCATTTGAAACCATTATAAAAAAAAATTCGCAGACAAATATTAATATTCGAAAATGAAGATATTAATTTATTTTCGTATAAAACTTATACTAATTCCAATGGAGTTTCTATTTTTATTTTCGAAAGGGAAGTTACCAGTTTCTTAAGTTGGAC